CCCGGGCCCCCGCCAACCGTGCCGCCCGACGCCCCCAAACTCGGTGCCCCGTGACCCCGACACCCCCTAACCCTGTGCGCCTGCGACACCAGCGCCCTTAATACCCGCGTTCCTCTAGCAGTGAAGCCCCGCCCGACGCCCCCAAACTCGGTCCCCGTGACTCCGACACCCCTAACCCTGTGCGCCTGCAACACCAGCGCCCGTCCCCGGCGCCCCTCTAACACCAGGGTCCCCGTAACGCCGACTTGCCCCCACTGTGGCCCCTGAACCCCGAATCCCCGGCAACACCGAGGCTCCTGTACCCTGACGCCCCGTAACCCCCGATGCCCCTAACTGACAGCCCTCCTAATCCTGATGCCCTCACAGCCCGCTGGCCCCCTAAATCTGGCACCTGGTAGGTGATCCTCCTGTTCCCGGACCTCCATGGCCGCCCCAGACACCCCTAATACGACACCCCGACCCTGGACACCCGGTAACCCTGACATGCCCCCCAGCCCAGCCCTGATGCCAGGGCCCTCGGCTCTGTGCTGGGTCCCCCTCCCTCTGGCCCAGGCCCCCGGGGTACAGAAGCTATAGCAGGTGCTGGGTGGGGACCTGTGCCCAGCTGGCCTGCTTAGGGCAGTAGCATGGCACAGAGCCGGGGTCCAGCCCCCGGCCCTCGAGGACACTCAGCTAAGAGGCGTCCCCACTGTGGGGTGCGGAGGACCCGGGATGTTGACCTGCGAGCACACGCACCTGCCTCCACACCTGCCTTCTCCCTCCCTTCCCTGGGTGGGATTTTGGAAGAGAGAAACCCTCCCTTGCGGCCACTTTCCTAAAGGGCCTGGGAGCTGCAGGGTGAAGGCCTGAGACCCGGCCAGGGGAGCAGGGCTGGTCCCCAAGTCCATCATTCCTGGACCGAGCACACCCACTTGAGGGCTCAGCCACACTGGTGGGGAGACCCCAGGCACGGGCCACGGGGGAGGGTGTGCCCCAGCCGCCTGGCCGCGCTCAGGCCTGTGCCCAGCACCGGAGCTGCCCTCGGCACTAGGCCTTGGCCCAGCTGCTCGCTGCCCTTGACTGGCTGGGCCAGGAGCCGGGACTTGGCTGCGGTCCTGGGCACCGGGGTGGCCACGTGAGGGCTGTTTACGGAGAGGGAAGCGGCTCTGGTGCCTCTGAAAGGTAACGCCTCTTCACGGAGGTGTTTCTCCTTTGGGTTTTTCTGTCAATGTAAACATAATTTAAGTTTTTAAAAAAATACTTTTTTATTGCCCTGGCCAGTTTGGCTCAGTGGTTAGAGCATCAGCCCTCGGACAGAAGGGCGGCGGGTTCTATTCCTGGTCAAGGGCATGTACTTTGGTTGCAGGTTCGATTCCCTGCCCCAGTCCCTCGTTGGGCATGTATGAGAGACAACCAATCGATGTTTCTCTCTCTGTGTCTCTCTCTGCCTTCCACTCTGTCTAAAAAGAATCAATGGAAAAAATATTCTCAGGTGACAAAAAAAAGAAATTTAAAAATACATGTTTTTATTGATTTTTTTAATATAAATATATTTATATTGATTTCAGAGAGAGAGAAACATCAGTGATGAGAGAGGGTCATTGATGGGCTGCCCCCTGCATGCCCCCTGCTGGGGATCGAGCCCAGGACCCAGGCATGTGCCCTGACCACCAGGAATAGAAGTGATGACCTTTTGGTACATGGGGCAACGGTCAACCAACCGAGCCTCTCCGGCCAGGGTTGAAAACAATTTAACGTGGAGAGGAACCCAGGGGAAGGCTGGAGGCGTCGCTCGCCTGCGTGACTGAGTTGTTAGTCCTGGTTCAAACCCGTCTTTCATTCTTTTCACCTGGACTTGTTTCCTTTTTAGCCATGGAGCAGGAGGAAGACGCCGGCCCCGAGGTATGGAGCTCGAGGGTCCCAGATGAATTGACGGAGCCTCAGTGTTCCCAGTTGGGGGTGTTTCTGGAGCAGGAGAAAGGGCCCATGCAGCATCTGGCCAGCTCCCTTGAGCCTGCTGAGTGAGGGAGTAGCCCTGTGTGTCCCTCCCCTGGGGTCCATTCCTTGCCTTAGAGCCACAATGAGAAGCTGGGAAGTCTGAAATGCCCAACGGTGGAGACTGTGCACATAGGCTGTGCTTCACCGTGGGACCCTGGCCTTGACAGTCCTGCCGGGCTGGGAGTGCACGGTGTGGTCGTGGGCCCGAGCACTCAGTCTGGGCCAGGAGGGGCTGGGGCCTCTGCCTGGGAGCAGTAAGCCCCCCTGCTTCCCTTTGTCTCCTGAACCGAGTGCAGAGATTGAGTTTCTGGACACTTGCCTCTTGCCCGGACGCAGCACTCAGCTCTTGAGTGCTCAGTTCCCTTCCATTCCTGTGGTTTTCTGGCACCGATGCTGCGTCTGATTCTGGCTCTCTGGAGGGTCAGGCAGCCAGCTGCTTCAGGCCTGGGGCTTGTGCAGAACCTGAAAGAGTGAACAGGCACCCCGGCCCCATCTTGTTCCTGGCTGCCTGGGGAGAGGCCTGTGGACAGGGAGGGGGCGGGGATCGGGGCCCGGCTTGTTTGCTGGTCTCCTTTCCCTCTTGTTCTCTGGGCATTGGGCAGCATCCTCCACGCAGGTGGCCCCAGCCTCTGCTCACTCACCACCGGGGCTCAGTTCTCCTCCCTCCCCCCCCCCCCC